AATTAGGTACCACCTTAAAGTGTGGGGAGGGTAAATTAACTAATTTATGAGGCCATAAAAAAGACTCCAGCAAAGCACTCCAGCAAAAAGCATGCGGGGAATGCGGAAGTACTTCATCAGTGTCGCAGATGGACGATGAAAGCGACAGCTCCCCTGGCGGCAGAAAAAGTTAAATAGCCTCTGTGTATGTCTGTATATGGTTGTATGTCAAAAATTGGCATTGAATGTTTGCCATATATGTGTACACTGTAATCCACCCTGAGTCCCCTGCGGGGTGAGAAGGGCAGAATATAAAAGCTGTAAATAATAATAATAAAATTCAATTTTGAGTATTCCTTGCTTAAGAAAACCCCACTCCTTGCATAAATAGACTGGGGATTTGAAAGGCTGTGTGTGTATATACATCTCAGGTTGTCCTGCTATGGCTCAGAGCTACGGAAGTTGTTGCTTTACAAGACCTTTAGCTTTTATGATTATCATCATCATCATCATCATCATCATCATCATCATCATCATTTGTGACTTTAGGCAGCTTAGGGTGTAACTACATTACAGAGCTAATACAAATCAACACAATTTCAAGCAACTGCCATGGCTCAATGATATGGAATCATGGGAGTTATAGTTGTTGGAGCATGTAAGAAATTGGTTAGTGTGTGTGTGTGAAATGTAAAATAAAATGTACAAAGCTGATTGATTGGGCTATATCTGGGGAGCTGGCTGAGCCTGGGACTTTTGGATACTGTTACATTTTTTAGGCTTGAGCTATACAGGTACTTGCAGTGAAGCAGAGGGAAGCAGACAGAGAGACAGTTTGCAGTGTGTTCTTACTTCCTGAGCTGCTGGAGGAAGATTCTCCACATGGACAAATAGAGGCTATTTTAAATCTCTCAAACAATGTCATGTATCATGTCATGTACCCTAAAATGATCAAGAGTCTGGAGAACAAGCCCTATGAGGAGCGGCTTAAGGAACTGGGCATGTTTAGCCTGAAGAAGAGAAGGCTGAGAGGAGATATGATAGCCATGTATAAATATGTGAGAGAAAGCCACAGGGAGGAGGGAGCAAGCTTGTTTTCTGCTTCCTTGGAGACTAGGACGCAATGGAACAATGGCTTCAAACAACAAGAGAGGAGATTCCATCTGAACATGAGGAAGAACTTCCTGACTGTGAGAGCCGTTCAGCAGTGGAACTCTCGTGGTGGAGGCTCCTTCTTTGGAAGCTTTTAAACAGAGGCTGGATGGCCATCTGTCAGGGGTGATTTGAATGCAATATTCCTGCTTCTTGGCAGGGGTTGGACTGGATGGTCCATGAGGTCTCTTCCAACTCTTTGATTCTGTGATTTTATGATTCTATGATTCTGCAGTTGTTGGTGGTTGGTGATGGAAGGGTTAATGTAAGTCTTAGTTCTAAAGGGTTGAGTAATCTGTAAGTAAGAGTTCATGGGTGAAAGCTATTAAGGGTAGAGGTATGCAAGAGATGGATTGCAGCTGGGTGTTTCTGGATATAAGGAGCTAGCCTTGGGACTGATCTTTGGGAGAAAAGTATTGTTTTATCTTGGTGGTAGATGCTGCTGGTTTTTCCCCAGGTTTGTTGACTTTTGGTGTCCAGACCTGTCTCCTGAACCTTTGGAATGCTGGAACCTTGAACCTTTGGACTGGCTTTTGACTATGATATAGACTTGATACCTGTACTTTAGTTTATTCAACTCTTGGCATTTGACCACTGGACTGGGCCTTTTGACAATGGAGTTATCTTGAACCTGCAACTGTGATTGCTGTTTTTGTTTTGTATTCTGTGGCTGAGTGCTATCTTTTGTTTTATATTTTGGACTATTAAAACAGCCGGAAATTAAGTGTCATTTTAATTAAATTGTTTTATACAAACTGGGATTTTGTTTGGTTCATCTCTGCCTCTCTAAAGGCAGAGCCCTGGCAATGTGAAGAACAAGGACATTATGTGAATCGATGCAACTGATCACATGATTGCACATATGTTGTTCTGAATTACAAAGAGTAAACTCCTTGTTCTTTACTGTTCATCTATGTGGCATATTTTCTTTCTCTGGCAAGACGGTGTGTGAACTGGTCAAATGTGAACTACGCATGATTTTCATTTTGTCACATTTCGCCTTTAGCCTTTTCTCCCAAAGTGCACTGATTCCTCACCAAACTACAAATCCCAGAATTCTATGTCATTGAACTGTGACACTGAAAGTGATATCAAACTGCATTCATTCAACAGCGTAGATGTACTCCTTGTTGCTGGGAACTGAAAATGAATGATAAAGAAAAGTACTGCCTGTAAATCTTACATAAATGCAGGCGTTCATAATTAGAAGGGGATTAACGGTTCCGCTGTGCTCCAGTAAACACCTCCCAATTGCTTGGGGCTTTGCACTGCGATGCAATTATCGCTGGACTCACACAGTGTTGGATTTCTTTAAACTACCTTTGCTTTCTCAACATGGTATCGCTTCTCTTTACGTAGGAGAAAGTAGGAGTTAGTTGGTGGTTTCCATATCAGTGGGGTAGTGAACGCACTCTAGATTTCAGTCTGAATTTAAGGACATTATCGAAGCAGCTGAGTCTATTCTGTGGATAAGATACAAGTGTAGTAATCATATCCTTTGAAGTTCAGACTAAAACCCATTGCAGATTAACTGCCTTGCTGATATCAGGGGTACCAGCTGCTCTTGAGCAGACCTACCACTGGCTAAAAGTAGAGCTAAAAGACCAAAAGTTAGTCTGACTAAATGGGCACATGCAGCAGATTTTGTGCCAATGTTGCAGCATCAGTTAAACCAGCCCTAAAGCTCCTCGTGCACACGGTGACACAGTGGGTTAAACCGCTGACTTGCTGAGCTTGTTGACCGAAAGGTCACAGGTTCGAATTCGGGGAGCAGCATGAGCTTCCTCTGTCAGCCCCAGCTTCTGCCAACCTAGCGATTTGAAAACATGCAAATGTGAGTAGATCAATAGGTACCGCTCCAGCGGGGAGGTAAGTGCAGTCATGCCAGCCACATGACCTTGGAGGTGTCTACAGACAATGCTGGCTCTTCGGCTTAGAAATGGAGGTGAGCACCACACCACAGAGTCGGACACGACTGGACTTCATGTCAGGGGAAAACCTTTACCTTTACCTTAATATAAATAAGCAACAGCTAAACCATCTAATTCATGTCTGGTTTGGGATGATCAATGCTTTTAAAGCTGTCCAAATGAGATCAAATTTAGACTAGGACTGTGGATATGGAGGGTCCATGCCCGGTGAGCATTTACACTGAAGCCCAGTTCCAGATTAGAGAACACACTTGCCAGGTGAAGACAAGCCACGGAGGTTTATGACCCTGAAAGCAAGAATCCCTTTTAGGAGCAGCTTAAAGAGCTGGGTCTGTTTCTCCTCCCGAAGTGAAGGTTGTAAGGAGACATTATCACCATGTTTAAATATTTGAAAGGATGTCCTGAGAAAGAGGGAGAAGCCTTGTTTTCTGCTGCCCTGGAGACTGGGACTCAATGACAGGAAAGGAGATTCCACCTGAACATTTAGAAGAACTTCCTGACCATCAGAAGAGCTGTTCAGCAGTGGAACTCCCTGCCTCAGGAATATGTGGAAGCTCCTTTCTTGGAAGCTTTTAAAGAGAGGTGGATGGCCATCTGTCAGGGGTGCTTTGATTGTGCTTTTCCTGCATAGCAGAAGGGGGTTGGACTAGGTGGTCCATGTGGTCTCTTCCAACTCTATGATTCTATGCCTTGGAATCTAATGACAGAACATACTTTGAGTCTCTATTGTGTACTTTAACCAAAACAGAGATATTTGCAAAGAAGATGCCTTCTCTTATACATAAACTATAATTTAAAAACTTAACATCTATCTATTTGCTTGCTTTACCTCTTTTCAGCTTAAATGAAGTAAATGATGGCTGATGTTCTATTCACATTGTCCAAAGCATATGAACTTATTACTGGCATATAGGATTTTGTGTATTCAAGTCACCTGCTGACTTATCACGACCCCATGAGTTCCATAGGTTTGACAGTACGGTGTTCCCTTGCTACTTCGCGGTTCACTTTTTGCAGACTTGCTGTTTTGTGGATTTTTTTTAAATGAATTTAAAATACAGTATACAAGTAGTGAGGGAACACTGGAGGAGGAAGGATGGATGGATCTCTGCATAGGCTCAGCCTCCTTGCCCTCTTTACCTTCCTCCTCCTCCTCCTCCACCTCGGCACCACCGCACATGCACCATGCTGGGTGCGGGCTCGAGGCGGAAGGAAAGCAGCACTCAGAGAGATTAATTGAGGGGGGGGGGGGGATCGTCGAAGGCTTTCATGGCCGGAATCACTGGGTTGTTGTAGGTTTTTTCGGGCTATATGGCCATGTTCTAGAGGCGTTCTCTCCTGACGTTTCGCCTGCATCTATGGCAAGCATCCTCAGAGTAGTGAGGTCTGTTGGAACTAGAAAAATGGGTTTATATATCTATGGAATGACCAGGGTGGGACAAAGGACTCTTGTCTGCTGGAGCTAAGTGTGAATGTTTCAACTGACCACTTCGATTAAAATTACAACAGCACAATAACAGAGAGTAAACAAGGGCATCTAATCACCTCTCAACAAAAGTTTGCTCTAAGCAGTGTCAGGCATTATATGCTAATCAAGGTGGTCAGTTGAAACATTCACACCTAGCTCCAGCAGACAAGAGTCCTTTGTCCCACCCTGGTCATTCCACAGATATATAAACCCTTTTCCTAGTTCCAACAGACCTCACTACCTCTGAGGATGCTTGCCATAGATGCAGGTGAAACGTCAGGAGAAATGCCTCTAGACCATGGCCATATAGCCCGAAAAAACCTACAACAACCCAGTGATTCGGGCCATCTTCCAGAGGGAGGGCGGATGGGGACATACGTATACGTATGCATACTGTACATATACTGTAAGCTTCCCTACTTTGTGGATTTTCACTTATTGCGGGTGGTCCTGGAAGGTAAGTGAGGGAACACTGTATTGGTTTTTTATTACAATGACATTCCTGAAATTGAAATGATAGTGTCCCCCATTCTCCTCTTTTGGCCCAAGTTTTAGTCCTTTGGGGTAGGAGATGAATTCATAATCCTGATTTTCCATATTCACTTTGCAGTCCAATTCACAATATTTACTAATTCCACGTGGCGTGATAGAGAAGGTGCAGTTTCCAATCTTTCTATTCTTGAAGTCCAGCTCTGCGGACCAACTTAAGTTTGATGGGATTTTTTGGTTTCAGGAGGACCTCGCCACACACTTCCAAGGGGATCTGTTGATTTAGGAAAGAAAGAAAGAGTGTTAGCTAAATAACATTGGAGACAACTTGAAAACTTATGTACCTCCTCTTATTACTTTAAATTTACTATTAAGGGTGCCTCTATATGGTAGAATTAATGCAGTTTAACACCATGATATGACTCAATGCTTTGGAATCCTCTGAGTAGTAGTTTGGTGAGGCATGAGCACTCTTTGACAGAGAAAATTAAAGACCAAATAACAACAATAATTTGTGTGTCTGTGTCAGGAGCGACTTGAGAAACGGTAACTTTTTCCTGCTTGTGATCCCACCAGTTCTTCGTTGCAGGCAGATGCTATTTGTGACAAAAGTTCCAGTGAATCATCTGAGCAACGGTGTTGTGCCTCTGCTTGGAGTCTGTCTGCGTGATCTTCTTGCAGCAGCTGAGGATGTGATCTATTGTTTCATCTGCTTTCTTGCAGAGTCTACATTTGGGATCTGTCGCTGACTTTCAATTCTGGCTTTGATGGCATTGGTTCTCTTGGCTTGTTCTTGGGCTGTAAGAATCAGGCCCTTCTTCGTCTCCTTTTTCAAAGTTCCATTTGTGAGCCCCAGCCTTTTTTCTTTGTCAATTTGGCTCTCAATTTTTCCCAGGAACTGCCCATGGAGAGCCTTCTTTTGCCAGTTTTCTCTCTGCGCCCGTACCTTGGGAAGTCTGACTTGGCCACGATAGTCCACACTCTGGCTACATCCTGTATAGACTACTGCAATGCTCTCGACATGGGGTTGCCTTTGAAGACTGCTCGGAAGCTTCAAATGGTCCAATGCTCGGCAGCCAGGTTGCTAACAGGAGCGGCACTCAGGGAGCATACAACTCCTCTGTTGCGCCAGCTCCACTGGCTGCCAGTTTGCTACCGGGCACAATTCAAAGTGCTGGCTTAGCCTATAAAGCCCTAAATGGTTCTGGCCACTTACATATACTATACATTATAATCTTTATTCATACCCCCACCATCTCCTGAGGAACTCGGGGCAGCTCACAAAGCACTCAAAGATGCAAACATGCAATACAAAAAGTGCAAAAGACAATAACACAAAAGCAACAACAAACAAACATATAGGGTTGTTGTAGGTTTTTTCGGGCTATATGGCCATGTTCTGGAGGCATTTTCTCCTGACGTTTCGCCTGCATCTATGGCAAGCATCCTCAGAGGTAGTGAGGTCACTACCTCTGAGGATGCTTCCCATAGATGCAGGCGAAACGTCAGGAGAAAAATTGCCTCCAGAACATGGCCATATAGCCCGGAAAAACCTACAACAACCCAGTGATTCCGGCCATGAAAGCCTTCGACAATACAACCAACATAGACATCACAACCCCTCCCCCCGATTAAGATCAATAAAATGCAACAATTGCTGCAGAATGCAAAACTGCAATCAATATCAGTCTCATAAAGTGCATGGTGAAAAATCTCTAGGTCCTCTTTGGTATAGAGGTATCCAAATTTTTGTTTTCCACACATTTTATTTAACAGTGTATAGGCAAGCAATTCTGCATCAATTGACAGTTTGCCTTATTACTTCTTTAAGCATAATCCCTGCTTACTTGGGTCTCTTTGCATGGTCGGAAGGTATATTTTTGCAGGAGGGTCACGATAGCCACTTTTAGGACCAGCAGAGCAAAGCGCATCCCGATGCAGTTCCTGGGACCTGCTCCGAAAGGCAGGTAGACGTATGGGTTTTGGGTTTCCTTGTTCTCTTTGCTGAACCTGTTTGCACAGCAACGGAGAGAAAGGCGTGAATGAAGCATCTCTTCCAGAAGATGCTGGGAGGCAGGAAGGAAGAAACACCTTTGATCCTTCGCTGCGGGAGGAGACTGGCGAACCCAGCTGGTGCTTGTGGCCCCTGGCAAGGCACGCTTTGATCCTTCTCTAATGGGGACTTGCCTGAGTCAAGGAGGCACTCAAGAGTCATTAGTTGCGGAAGGAATTGATTTAGGTCAAATGAATGATCTGAGGCCAGACCCAAAGGGTATGTTCTTTAGAGAAATAAATATAGCTGGAAATGACAAGCACAGCCCAAGGTGGAATGATTAACCAACATCATTCTTCTGGGAGATAAAGGTTTGAGTGTTGGATCATGGCTTTGGAAACCAGGAGTTGGCTCCTCGCTCAACCAAGGAAACCCGCTGAGCAAAGTCACTCTCTCTCAGCCCTGGAAAACTCTATGATAGGCATGTCTCACCTCACTGCCATAGATGCAGGCGAAATGTCAGGAGAGAATGCCTCTAGAACATGACCATATAGCCCAAAAAACCCTACAACAACCCAGTGATTCCAGCCATGAAAGCCTTCGACAACATATGTCTTAAGGTTGCCATACGTCAGAAATAACTTGAGGGTGCACAGCAATAATAGTTTACCCTTTCCCTTTAAAAAGAAAACAAGAGAAAATAACCTTAATGCTTCCTTAGTATAACAAACATTTCTGAAACACTGCCTGAGTTTAAATGTGATAGATCAGCATTTCTCAGTCTGGGGGTCGGGACCCCTGGGCTGGGGTCATGGGGGTGTCAGAAGGGTCATCAAAGACCATCAAAAAACACAGTATTTTCTGTTGGTCATGGGGGTTCTGTGTGGGAAGTTTGTCCCAATTCTATCATTGGTGGGGTACAGAATGCTCTTTGATTGTAGGTGAACTATAAATCCCAGCAACTACAACTCCCAAATGTCGAAGTTTATTTTCCCCAAACTCCACCAGTATTCACATTTGGGCATATTGGGTATTTGTGCTAAGTTTGGTCCAGATCTATCATTGTTTGAGGCCATAGTGCTCTCTGGATGAAGGTGAACTACATCTTCAAAACTCAAGGTCAATGCCCACCAACCCCTTCCAGTATTTTCTTTTTTTTTTTTGAATAATTTTTTATTAGGTTATATCTTAAATACAACGAAAGAGGGTGAACATTTAAAAGAGGATAGAACAGTAGGAAAAGAGAGTCAAGAAGAAAAAATCCAAAGAAAAAAAATACATAATTAAAAAAAAAGAAAAAAAAACACACGAGAAAAGAGACTATATTAAAATAAAAAAAAGGTTTGACTTCCATCTCCACATCAGGTGTTTTAACTCCAAAAAAACATGTTTCCTTTATTTTAAAAATAGTTCTCTTATTTACTGTCTTCTTTCTCGTAATTATCATAAAAGGTCCAATCTGTCCTCTTTATCGGGTTTCCGGTATTCTTTTTTAGAAAAAAGGTTAATTCATCCATCTCTCTTATTTCTCTAATTTTCCCTAACCATTCCTCCTTGGTAGGGATACTGTCCTGTTTCCAAATTTTTGCTAACGTAATTCTTGCTGCCGTCGTAATATATGTAAAAAGTCTATCCTCATTTTCCTGTAATTGTAATTCCATATCTGTAAAGCCTAGTAGATAATATTCCGGTTTCTTCTTAAATACTTTTTTCAAAATTTTTTGTGATTCTTCATGTATCATTGACCAATATTTTACTACTTCTTTACATGTCCACCACATATGATAAAAGGTACCTGTCTGCTGGCATCCTTTCCAGCATTTATCAGAAGTATTTTTATTTATTAAAGATAATTTCTTTGGAGTGGTATACCATCTGTGGAACATTTTTATCCAATTCTCCTTTAGATCTGTTGCATAAACATATTTCAACTTTTTGTTCCACATCTGTTCCCACTCTCTGAATTGTATAGGTCTTCTTATATTTTCTGCCCATTTTATCATACATGGTTTGACTTGTTCGCATTCCGTTAGCCAAGTTAGCAGTGTATTATAAATAAATGAGATTACTTTTTTCTTTAACTTCAAAATTTTATCCCATAACGATTCTTCCCAGGTGAAGCCTATCTTATTGTCCTGTTTAATATATTCTTTCATTTGTAAATAATGTAGCCATGTCAGGTTCTTGTTTTTTTCTTTTAATTGCTGATAGGTCTTAATTTCAGCTGTCTTCTCTATTAAAATATCTTTATAAGTTGGCCACGCTCTCCAGCCCAACAGTCTTCTTTGATGTGCCTCCATTGGAGAAACCCACAGTGGCGTATTATTGTAAAAATAATTCTTATATTTCATCCACACTCTTAACAGAGATGCTCTTACAAAGTGATTTCCAAATTTTTTTCTTTTTTCTCTCTATCATACCACGTGTAGGCATGCCATCCTACCCGTAGGTCATGACCTTCTAAATTCAGACCTTTTTCATTTTCTAACAACATCCAATCTCTGATCCATAAGAGAGCACATGCGTCATGGTATGTTTTTAGGTCTGGGAATCCTAGTCCACCTCTTGTTTTTTTGTCAATTAAGTTTAAGTATTTGATTCTAGGTCTTTTTCCATTCCACACAAATTTCAATAATTCTTTGTTCCAACTTTTAAAAATTATTTGATTTCTGATTACGGGTATATTTTGAAATAGAAACAATAGTTTTGGCAATATATTCATTTTAATTAATGCTATTCTTCCTAATAAGGATAATTTCAGTGAATTCCAATTCTTGAGGTCTTTCTGTATCTTACTCCAAGCCATTTCATAGTTATTCTTCAACAATTGGCCATTCTTTGCAGTTATCCAAATTCCCAAATACTTTATTTTTTTATGAATTTCCATTCCTGTAGCCGTTACTATCCTCTCCTGATTTTCCCTCTTTACATTCTTAGTTAAGATTTTTGTTTTTCCTTTATTCACTTTGAAGCCTGCCACTTTTCCGAACTCATGCATTTTCTTTATCCAATTCTGAAGGTTATTTGTTGGGTCTTCCACAATTCCTAACAGATCATCCGCGAAGGCTTTGATCTTATATTCGTATTTACCTACTCTTACTCCCTTAATATTTGTATCATCTCTTATTTTCATCATCAACGGTTCCAATGCCATAATAAAGATCAAGGGGGATAACGGACATCCTTGTCTCGTTCCTTTCGTAATTGTAAATTCTTCAGATTGTTGGCCGTTTATCCGAATTCTTGCTCTTTGTACTTCATAAATGGCATTAATTGCATTTATAAATTTTGCCCCCATATCCAATTCTTGAATCAAAATCTTGAAAAAGTCCCAATTTAGATTATCAAATGCTTTTTCCGCGTCGACTGATAGTATGGCAGCTTCCTTCTGATGGTTCACTTCAAAATATTCTATCAAGTCCAAGACTGTCCGTATATTATCTTTCATATATCTTCCTGGGAGAAACCCTGTTTGGTCTTCCCCTATCCAATCCGTCAAAAATTCTTTTAATCTTGTCGCCAAAATATTATAAATATTTTATAATCTACATTTAGTAGGGAAATAGACCCTTCCAGTATTTTCTGTTGGTCATGGGAGTTCTGTGTGCCAAGTCTGGTTCAATTCCATCATTGGTGAAGTTCAAAATGCTCTTTCATTGTAGGTGAACTAGAAATCCCATCAATTTCAACTCCCAAATGACAAAATCAATCCCCCCAACTCCATCACTATTCAGATTTGGGTGTGTTGGGTATTTGTGGCAAATTTCATCCAAATTCCATTCTACCATCAAAATTTCTATCAGATAGACGTGAGAAAGAGACTTGGCTCTAAAGCCCTTAATTAAGTTACCTCTCATCACCAATTCTAAGGTTTTTATTCTTGGGACTCATGCTTCATGCCCAGATCACCCTGGACAATGTTGAGGAGACCCAAGCGCCTTCAAACAGCTCCTTTGGCATCAAAAGGAAGACTCTGTGCCTTCAACATAGGCCATTGGACTGGGGGTTGTGTTTGTTTCGACCTTCACAGCCATTGAGAAAAGAGGGAACAGGAAAAACTTCTTAGCTGCGAAATCTCCTTGGACCCAAGACAACCAGAGACTTAAAGGGATAACTCTTTGTGAACAATAAAACCTATTTTGAGTTATCTACAGTGTTTTGGTTCTTGGGAGTTCCAGTTCTTTAAAGGAAGGCATGAAGCAATCCCCTGGGGAAAAGATGTCACGTCTATGTCTCTTTCACTAAGAGTTATAGCCCCCAGGCGTGACGGCATAATCCTACATATCAGATATTTACATGACAATTCATAACAGTAGCAAAATTACAGTTATGAAGTAGCAAGGGAAATAATTTTATGGTTGTGGGTCCCCACAATGAGGAACTGTATTAAAGGTTCCTGGCATTAGGAAGGCTGAGAACCACTCGTGATAGATGGATGATACATGGATCGATAGATCGATAGATCAATGAACAATGAGATAGGAGAGAATGACAAACACAAGGGAGGGCATCCCAATATGTTCAAGAAAGAGTTTGGCTTCAAGACCATCAATGGTCAGGTGTAATCAAAACAAAAGGAAGTGGGAAGTCTCAATATTTCCAGAGACATTTTTCCTTCCTTTCATAAACCTACTGCCCCTCTCTCTTTTTTCCATGATGGCTGATCATTGGCTACTCAGCTCTTCTGGCAACCTACCTCTCTGGTCTGAATTCTTCTGGTTCTGGCCAATATTCTGGGTCACGATGCAGGGCAAAAGTGGGGATCACGATGACGGTTCCTTTCGGGATGGTCACCCCATTGATTTCCACCGTGTCTTTGCACTCTCTTTCCACCCGACCTCCGACGGGGTAGAGCCGGAGGGTTTCATTGACCACCATGTCAAGATACTCCATCTGATGGAACGCATCGTAGGTGGGAGTCGCCTAGGAATTAGAAAAAGCACCAAATACATAGAAATATTATCATAGAAAATCTAGATCCTGATATGTGTTGGAACCCTGTGTTCTCAACACAGAGAAACTACATCCTATCTATAAATGTGTCTGTATGCTGAATTAATACAAGATGTTTATGAGTAAATAAGGTATGTTACTTTTAAAAGAAGACTTTGTTGAAGCCCCCCTAAGTCCCCCCTCTGGGTGAGAAGGACAGGATACAAATACGCAAAATAAATAAATAGTTAATTTTGTTCCTGAGTGTATATTTTAAACTAAGAAGTTTAATTTTTTCAATTCTGGCTTGGCTAGCATTTGTTTTTAAGTACAGGCCAAGGTCTTTAAGCACTGCACCCAGTGTGCCGATCCCCACTGGGACCACTTTACTGGCTTATTATTATTATTATTATTATTATTATTATTATTATTATTTAATACCATCTGGCAGACAGTACAGGGTGACAAAGGCAAGGACAAACAGACTGAGAGATAGCTTGTATCCTAAAGCTGTAACTATATTGAACTCCATAGTTTCGCATTGACGTGGCATTGGGTGCTGTGCAATGGTGATTGAGGTGTGGAGGGATGGGTGTGTTGTTTTGTGGTGTGTGCTGGGGAAAGCATTTGATTTCATCGTGCAATAGGACAATGACAATAAACTTAAACTAACAAAATGAAGTTCAACAGTGACAAATGCAAGATACTCCACTTTGGCAGGAAAAACGAAATGCAAAGATACAGAATGGGGATGCCTGGCTCGAGAGCAGTACGTGTGAAAAAGATCTTGGAGTCCTCATTGACAACAAGTTAAACATGAGCCAACAATGTGATGTGGTGGCAAAAAAAGCCAATGGGATTTTGGCCTGCATCAATAGGAGCCTAGTGTCTAGATCTAGGGAAGTCATGCTACCCCTCTATTCTGCTTTGGTTAGACCACACCTGGAATATTGTGTCCAATTCTGGGCACCACAATTCAAGAGAGATATTGACAAGCTGGAATGTGTCCAGAGGAGGGCGACTCAAATGATCAAGGGTCTGGAGAACAAGCCCTATGAGGAGCGGCTTAAGGAGCTGGGCATGTTTAGCCTAAAGAAGAGAAGGCTGAGAGGAGATATGATAGCCATGTATCAATATGTGAGAGGAAGCCACAGGTGATGAAGGCTTGATGAAAATACATAATACGCATATTGGAAAATATATTTGATATAACCATATTAGAGATAGGAGTTAGAAAATATATAGGAGAAATGTATGTATGCATGGCTAGTTCACTGGACTTCTCAAAGGCTGCAAAATTAGAGGCCAGCTCCAGGAAAGGAATGTGGTGCCTGGCACTTCGAAAGGCCATAAGATAAGATACATACCAGGCACCAGGCACCTTATCGTCCATTAAGAGGTGCCTGGTACCTTATCGTAAAATTGACTAATGAAGTGTCCATTAGGGGGTCTCAGGAATGTTATCTCAAGATGGATGGAGCAGGTCCGGAGACATCCTGGCGCTGGGAGTACATTAATAGCCACTCTTTAGATAGTAAATTAATGAGGATTGACAACTTGTTGATTTTCAAAATATGCCTTTGAAGTCAGTGTAAGAGTAGATGTTTGTGACGCACATTGTGATGTTTCTATGATGCATGAATACTTATTTTCAAAAAGTGTATATATACTCTGCATTTCTTTTGTTCGGGACCCTTCTTTCCTGGCCTACCAGGGGGTCTATATCCGGTTGGCGCCAACCGAGAATAAAGCGTGCTTTCCAGTACTCTGGATCTCTCTTTGTCTTTGTTCCTCAAACCTTCTCTCAGTCCCTAACACAGGGAGGAGGAGGGAGCAAGCTTGTTTTCTGCTTCCTTGGAGACTAGGACGCAATGGAACAATGGCTTCAAACTACAAGAGAGGAGATTCCATCTGAACATGAGGAAGGAACTTCCTGACTGTGAGAGCCGTTCAGCAGTGGAACTCTCTGCCCTGGAGTGTGGTGGAGGCTCCTTCTTTGGAAGCTTTTAAACAGAGGCTGGATGGCCATCTGTCAGGGGTGCTTTGAATGCAATATTCCTGCTTCTTGGCAGGGGTTGGACTGGATGGCCCATGAGGTCTCTTCCAACTCTTTGATTCTATGATTCTATGACTTATGTGGAATTCAATTCAAACCTCCCAGAGATATCACCACCCTGCTTTCAAAATTACCTCCTTAGCCACAAGGACTAGATACATTTTTCAGAAATCCACTTGAAAAACCTCCATACATCACAGACCACTGGATTCATGTTTGGTCCATGGAGACGTTTACCTGGTTGGGAAGGGTGGCATCAATCTCCTCCTGAAGTTTCTGCTGGACATCAGGGTTGGTGGCCAGGAGGTACGACAGGAAGCTAAGGGCAGTGCTGGTAGTCTCGTAACCGGCAAAAATAAAGACTATGGCCTGTGTCAAAATCTCTTTGTCAGTTAGAGCTGGAAATAGACGAGGAAGGAAAACACAACAGTAAATCAAGTCTGCGGAGAAGCGGCCAGTAATAATCAGGGTGGGATTAACTGTAACACGGTGTATACTGCAAGTATAAATCTCAAAATCACTTTTGGCCCACGCTGCGGTGAAATTCATCTTTGGGATGAGAGTGCCTTTAAAAGGTCTTTTTCGATGACAAAGAGCAGCCCACAGATTTCCAGCCGAAGGGAGAGAGAAAACATCCGAAACTGGGGCCCGGCAATGGAGTTGTTTTTCAGATTTTTTTGAGAATGTGGCAAAGCTACACCAGATCTTGAAAATGTCACATGTTCTTGAACTACAACTCCACTGTTTAGCTGGCATGGCTACCCACTGGCCTAGGGGATTCTGGCGATTTCAGTATGCAAAGTACCATGTGGACATGAAAAATGTGGATAATACTGATCCCAATTAGATTGCATGACTGTTATTTACAGCATTTATATCCCCCCTTCTCACCCTGAAGGGGACTCAGGGCGGATCACAGAATATTTATTTATTTATTTATTATTTGAACTTACATGCCGCCACTCCCCTGGGGCTCAGAGCGGCTTATAAGAATGGCTAAAATCTAACACAATTTCAAAAAAATTTGAAACAATTTAAAAACAGCAATATCAAACATTAAAAGCCTGTCGAAACAGGTATGTCTTACATGCCCTGCAGAAAGCTGGTAAGTCCCGCAAGGCACGGACTTCAGGTGGCAGAGTATTCCAGAGTGATGGTGCCACTGCTGTGAAGGCTCTGCGTCTGGTTGCTGTTAGACGCAAGGTCTTGACACTGGGAATTTCCAATAGATCTTGGTCCTCAGAACGGAGGGATCTCTGGGGTTGGTAGGGGGTGAGGCGGTCCCTCAGGTACATCGGCCCCAGACTATGCAAGGCCTTAAAGGTGAGTACCATCACTTTGAAAGTGATCCGGTGCTCAATTGGTAACCAATGCAGCTGTAGTAAGATTGGTGTTATGTGGCATCTCATCGGAATTCCCGCAAGAAGCTGAGCAGCTAAGTTGTACCAACTTGAGCTTCCAGATCACTGACAGAGGAAGGCCAATGGAGAGGGCGTTACAGTAGTCCAGTCTTGAGATGACAGTGGCCTGGATCACCGTAGCGAGGTCGTCCCTGGACAGGGAGGGGGCCAGCCGTCTAGCCTGCCGCAGGTGAAAGAAGGCGGTTCTGCTCACGGCGGAGACCTGGGCCTCCATCGTCAGCAGAGGGTCCAAAAGGACTCCCAGACTCTTTACCAATGATGACGGGCGTAGTGCCTCGCCATCCAGGGTGGGCAGATGGACGTCCCCACTGCCTGGTCGACCCAGCCATAGGATCTCCGTCTTTGCTGGATTCACCCTCAACCTGCTGGCACGCAGCCATCCAGTCACGGCCTCAAGGCACTGATGGAAACAATCGGGTACAGAGTCCGGTTGGCCTTCCATCTTCAGCAAAAGCTGAGTGTCATCGGCATACTGATAACACTCAAGCCCAAAACCTCGGACCAGTTGAGCAAGTGGTCGCATATAGATGTTAAACAACAGAGGGGAGAGAATGGCCCCCTGAGGAACCCCACAAGATAGAGGGGACCTCTCAGAGACCAGGCCTCCCCTCTCCACTCGCTGTCCACGGTTAAGGTAAAGGTTTTCCCCTGACATTAAGTCCAGTCGTGTCCGACTCTGGGGTGTGGTGCTCATCTCCATTTCTAAGCCGAAGAGCCGGCATTGAATGTAGACACCTCCAAGGTCATGTGGCCGGCATGACTGCATGGAGCGCCATTACCTTCCCGCCGGAGCAATACCTATTGATCTACTCACATTTGCATGTTTTTGAACTGCTAGGTTGGCAGGAGCTGGGGCTGACAGCGGAAGCTCACGCTGCTCCCCGGAATCGAACCTGCGACCTTTTGGTCAACAAGCTCAGCAGCTCAGCGCTTTAACCCACTGTGCCACCGGGGGCCATATCACAGAACATATACACAGCAAATTTGATGCCTTAAAACAGACAGGACAGACAACAGATAGAGGTATATGTCGGCCTTTCCCCCAACTTCGGTGTCTTGGAGGTCGTGCTCGATTCCAGCCACAGGGGGTGCTGTTGCTCCCATCCTCTATGACGAAGAGCCCTTGATCACACCTCCTTTCTTTTGATCAACAGCATTTTCTGATATTTCATCTTTATGGTGTCATAAAATACCTCCCTGCTTAAGCAGTGACTAATATCTCCACTCACAGCTCACAGCTGTTTTCAAACTGCTTAGGTGGACAGTAAGCTGGGCTGAAGGTTGGGTGCTCACCTCAACCCAGGCTTTGAACTGCCAGCCTTTCAATTACTGTGGTCTATTGCTGCAGGTGATTAACCAGCTGTGCTAAACCCTTGCTAGGCATTACCATAGAGGGTCTATAATATCTCTAGAGAAGTATTATCCCCTAGAAATTTGCTTGGTCCTCCAGGGCAACCTCTGGTGAAAGCAAACCATAAAATCACATGGAGAACCTATACAAACGCCAGGAAGGACATATTTTGAAAGATTCACATAGAATCATAGAATCAAAGAGTTGGAAGCAACCTCATGGGCCATCCAGTCCAACCCCATTCTGCCAAGAAGCAGGAAGATTGCATTCAAATCACCCCTGACAGATGGCCATCCAGCCTCTGTTTAAAAGCTTCCAAAGAAGGAGCCTCCATCACACTCCGGGGCAGAGAGTTCCACTGCTGAACGGTTCTCACAGTCAGGAAGTTCTTCCTCATGTTCAGATGGAATCTCCTCTCTTGTAGTTTGAAGCCATTGTTCCATTGCGTCCTAGTCTCCAGGGAAGCAGAAAACAAGCTTGCTCCCTCCTCCCTGTGGCTTCCTCTCACATATTTATACATGGCTATCATATCTCCTGTCAGCCTTCTCTTCTTCAGGCTAAACATGCCCAGCTCCTTAAGCCGCTCCTCATAGGGCTTGTTCTCCAGACCCTTGATCATTTTAGTCACCCTCCTCTGGACACATTCCAGCTTGTCAATATCTCTCTTCAATTGTGGTGCCCAGAATTGGACACAATATTCCAGGTGTGGTCTAACCAAAGCAGACATAGGTGAAACCACAGTCTACTGTCCTGCAAATACAAGATCTGTATGGTATTTACCTTTGTACATATTTGCTTCTTCAGGAACACCGCCTGAAATCTGGGAGTCCACCATTAGTTGCAAGAAGTCAACCCTGTTCTGCAATGAAAAAATGTCACATAGGATGATAATAGGTAGAGGATAATGGCAAAATGTAGGCTTCATTCATCCCAAGGAAGTTTCCCAAAATTGCTACAGGGGACCTATGGTGGTCCTCTGATCTCCAGAGCAAGGGGAAGAAAGCTCAGTGTGAGAGCACCATCTTGAAAGTATCTATTTTGCCACCTGTATTTGTCATGGTGCTTGTGCTTTGAATTTCATACATTGTGCAACTGTGGATGTTGCTAAAGCTGCTGTGCTAAGTGACACTACCAGCATCTGCCCCTCATGTGTGTGACGGCGCAAGTGGCACCACCTATGTGTAGAACTGTTAGTTGTAAGATTTAAACTGTTGTATCGTGCTTAATCCTGCCTTTTTACCCTGCTTATGTATAAGTTTGAAGGAGCTGGGGGTGGTGACGGCCGACAGGGAGCTCTGGCATGGGCTGGTCCATGAGGTCACGAAGAGTCGGAGACGACTGAACGAATGAACAACAACAATGTATAAGTTGGATTGATTGGTTACTTATAGCTGTCAATCAGTACTGTTTGGCTCCACCTCTTCCTGCAGGAAGGGAGTGCTTCCTTTCTTTTCATTCTGCCTTCAGAGTTTCTACCAGATGGACATGAGTAAGAGACTTGACTCTAAAAGACCCTGATTTAAACTACCTCTCAGCACCAGTTCTGAGGTTTTTTACCCTTGAAACTTGTGCTTCATGTTCAGACCAACCTGAACGACGTTGGAAGTCTCAAGCGCCTTCAAACCGGTTCTTTTGGCACCAAAGGAAGATTCTGAGTCTTCAAAACATAGGCCATCTGAACTGGGGTTGTGGTTTGCTCCGGCATTCACAGCCATTGAGGAAAGAGGAAACTTGGTGAGGCTTCTCAGCTTCAAACCCCTTGGACCCAGGACTAACTGAGACTGTAACGTATATTTTCCTTCACCCCTCTGAAGTTTCCAGCTCATTGCTTTAAAGAAATAACTCTTTGTGATCAATAAAACTTATTTTGAGTTATTTACAGTGTTTTGGGTTTTTGAGAGTTCCAGTTTCCTATAGGAGGGCAAGAAGCAATCCCCTGGGGAAAGATGCCACGTCCATCCTTCCTTCATTAAGAGTTATAGCCCGCAGGCGCGAAGGCACAATGTGAGTGACACCTCAAGTGGTTGTCCATAGATCTCTGGTTATGACTTTGGAACGGTTGCGTCCTGTCCACCCTGCACCCACAGAACCAAAAGAGACCCCAGAAAGGAGTCTAACTCACCTTGTGATCATTCTTTTGCCGGTCCTTTTTGACTTTTTTGAGAACGTCTATGAAGAAGTTTGTGAACGACGATGGTGCCACCATGTTGAAGTTTAGTCTCTCAAAAAGTGGCCTGAGGAATGGGAAAATAACTGGAAAGGAGATGAAAAGGGTCTGTTGGGAGATGCCATAAAACTGTGATCCAGTGAAGGAAACTCAGGGTCATTTCATACTATGCAGTTATTCCACTTGGACCATTATTTATTTATTTATTTATTTGAAATATTTTTTAACCCGCGAAGGCAGGATCATCAAGTTTGCAGATGACACCAAATTGGGAGGGATAGCCAATACTCCAGAGGACAGGAGCAGGATTCAAAACATCTTGACAGATTAGAGAGATGGGCCAAAACTAACAAAATGAAGTTCAACAGTGACAAATGCAAGATACTCCACTTTGGCAGGAAAAACGAAATGCAAAGTATACAGAATGGGGGACCATGCCTGGCTCGAGAGCAGTACGTGTGAAAAAGATCTTGGAGTCCTCGTGGACAACAAGTTAAACATGAGCCAACAATGTGATGTGGCGGCAAAAAAGCCAATGGGATTTTGGCCTGCATCAAGAGGGGCCTAGTGTCTAGATCTAGGGAAGTAATGCTACCCCTCTATTCTGCTTTGGTTAGACCACACCTGGAATATTGTGTCCAATTCTGGGCACCACAGTTCAGGAGAGATATTGACAAGCTGGAATGTGTCCAGAGGAGGGAGACTAAAATGATCAAGGGTCTGGAGAACAAGCCCTATGAGGAGCGGCTTAAGGAGCTGGGCATGTTTAGCCTGAAGAAGAGAAGGATGAGGGGAGATATGATAGCCATGTATAAATATGTGAGAGGAAGCCACAGAGAGGAGGGAGCAAGCTTGTTTTCTGCTTCCTTGGAGACTAGGACGCAGGAACAATGGCTTCAAACTACAAGAGAGGAGATTCCATCTGAACATTAGGAAGAACTTCCTGACTGTGAGAGCCTTTCAGCAGTGGATACACCAAGCCGAGTGTGGTGGAGGCTCCTTCTTTGGAAGCTTTTAAACAGAGGCTGGATGGCCATCTGTCAGGGGTGCTTTGAATGCAATATTCCTGCTTCTTGGCAGAATAGGGTTGGACTGGATGGCCCATGAGGTCTCTTCCAACTCATTGATTCTATGATTCTATGATTTCAGCCCGAAGGTGACTCAGGGCGGTGTACAGATTGGCAACAATTAGATGCCATATAGGTAGTTAAGGTAAAGGTTTTCTGCTGACATTAAGTCCAGTCATGTCCAACTCTGGGGGTTGGTGCTCATCTCCATTTCTAAACTAAAGAGTTGGCATTGTCCGTAGACACCTCCAAGGTCATGTGGGCAGCATGACTGCATGGAGTGCCCTTACCTTCCCACCGGAGCGCTACCTATTGAGCTACTCACATTTGCATTTTTTTTAAGTGCTAGGTTGGCAGAAGCTGGGGCTGACAGCAGAAGCTTGCACCGCTCCCCGGGTTCGAACCTGTGACCTTTCGGTCAACAAGCTTAGCAGCTCAGTGGTTTAACCCACTGTGCCACCAAGGGCTCCAGATGCCATATAGAATACATATATCAATAAAGACAATTAAAACACATCACAAATACATATAAAATCCACACAAACTATAAAACTAAATAAAAAACCAGTGTCTACTAATCCAAATTCCTAATCCAATCTTAGCCATTCTATGTTTGAATTACAATTTTGTATTAACTAGTTACGCTGTAGCTCCAAACGCTTGCTCAAAGAGCCATGTTTTCACTCTTTTCCGAAAGGTCAGGAGGGAGGGGGCCAATCTAATATCCCTGGGAAGAGAGTTCCACAGCTGAGGGGCCACCACTGAGAAGGCCCTGTCTATTGTCCCCGCCAAGTGTGCCTGTGAGGAAGGCAGGATCGAAAGCAGGGCCTCCTCAGACGATCTCAAATTCCTAGAAGGTTCATAGGGAGAGATACGTTCGGATAGATAAGCTGGGCCAGAACCGTTTAGGACAACCATCTGTTTTACAAAATCCTAGAGTTCATCATCTGAGGAGCTCTCAACTTTAAGCCAGTTACAGCGCTCCCAATGTAGACACAACATAAAATATTAGAAACATTACAAACACTTTTCCCTGCTGTAATATCAGCCTATTAATTCAAGTTTCACTTCAGCTGCAATTGTGCATGTTGGACAAACAGCATTGTGCCGCGCAACACCTCCTAAATGAAAACCAAGCAACTTCAGAGTGTGGCCAAGTTGGCAAAAGGTATTAGTGAGGAAGAACACACAAGCTAGAAGAGGCTGAAGCAGTTGGCTTTTGCCTGAGTCTATTGGGAACGGCAAGATTCTGCTCCTCTTCTCTGGCTTAGTTGAGCACAATCTGATTTTGCACTTTGAAGTTATTTTGTGGCACTTTCAAAAAAGACAGTAGAGGACAAAGGGGTCCATTGGGAGGAGGAAAAATATACATTTCTTCAAGTTGAAAAAGTAGGGGGAGAGACAATTAATCAGGCTGGTCTCTGTAAATTTGGGCTATCAGAGAATATGGAGCCCATATTCCTTCATCCCTCACCACTCACAGTAAAACGAACAGAGACTAAAATTTTGAATGAGTACTACAAACTGTGTACTGTCTGCCCTGGTACTTCAAATCTCTCAAAGAAGGAGGAAACGGAGATGAAGGAGGGGAAGGAGAGGAGAAGAAGGAGATGAAATTAAAAGGGCATGGAGGAGGACATGATGGAGATAGAGATGGAGGCGATGGAAATGATGGAGGTGGAAATGGAAATAGAGATGGAAATTGAGAAGATGGAGATGATGGAAATTAAAGAGATGGAGACAGAGACAGTGATGGACATGGAGAAGGAGATGATGGAGATGGGGATGGAGACGGGGATGGAGATGGAAATTATGGAGATGGGGATGGAGATGGAAATGGAGAAGATGGAGATGATGGAAATGGAGACAAAGACAGAGATGGAGATGGAGATGATGGAGATGGAAATTATGGAGTTGGGGATGGAGATGGAAATGGAGGAGATGATGGAGATGGAGACAAAGACAGAGACAGTGATGGAGATGGAGATGACGGAGATGGAGACATGGATGGAGATGGGGATGGAGATGGAAATGGAGAAGATGGAGATGATGGAAATGGAGACAAAGACAGAGGCAGTGATGGAGATGGAGATGGAGAAGTGGATGGAGATGGAAATGATGGAGATGGAAATTATGGCAATGGGGATGGAGATGGAAATGGAGAAGATGGAGATGGAGACAAAGACAGAGACAGTGATGGAGATGATGGAGATGGAGACGTGGATGGAGATAGAGATGATGGAAATTATGGAGATGGGGTTGGAGATTATGCAGATGATGGAGACAATGAACATTATGAAGACAGAGATGGAGATGGGGGTGGAAATAATGGAGATGGAGATGGAAATGGAGGTGGAGATGGAGAGGAAAGTAGAAAAAGGATGACGGGAAGAAGAAGTAGAGTACAGAAGAAGTATAAGGAAGGAAGGAAGGAAGGAAGGAAGGAAGGAAGGAAGGAAGGAAGGAAGGAAGGAGGGAAGGAAGAAAGGAAGGAAGGAAGGAAGGAAGGAAGGAAGGAAGGAAGGAAGGAAGGAAGGAAGGAAGGTCAAAATACTTCTCCTACCAACGAGAAGTATCACCGGATCAAAAGTGTCAAACTTCAAAAACGTTTTAATATGCTTCACAAAAGGATCATTGGGGTTGTTAATGGAGTCCACGTTGATGCTGAATGAGGTGCTGGTGGTCACATCCATACTGTAGCCTCCAAAGAAGCTGGGAAAGAGAAGAAGAAAAGACAAATTATCTAAATGTGACAGGATACCATTTATTTTATTTATTTGTCATGTCAGGGCAACCAGTCAATTATATTACATTTCTAACAGAACAAAGCAAACAAACAGACAAAATACAAAATTTGTGATTTGGTAGTTGATTAAATGTCCTTTGACCAGTATCTGGCCACTTGGAGTGCTTCTGGTGTTGCTGCAAGAAGGTCCTCCATTGTGCATGTGGCAGGGCTCAGGGTGCATTGCAGCAGGTGGTCAGTGGTTTGCTCTTCTCCACACTCGCATGTCGAGGATTCCACTTTGTAGCCCCATTTCTGAAGGTTGGCTCTGCATCTTGTGGTGCCAGAACGCAGTCTCTTCCAAGTCGCCCAGTCCTCTGTGTGCCCAGGGGGGAGTCTCTCATTTGGTATCAGCCATTGGTTGAGGTTCTGGGTTTGAGCCTGCCACTTTTGGACTCTCGCTTGCTGAGGTGTTCCAGCGAGTGTCTCTGTAGGTCTTAGAAAACTATTTCTTGATTTAAGTCGTTGACGTGCTGGCTGATACCCAAACAGGGGATGAGCTGGAGATGTCTCTGCCTTGGTCCTTTCACTATTGGCTGCTACTTCCCGGCGGATGTCAGGTGGTGCAATACCGGCTAAGCAGTGTAATTTCTCCAGTGGTGTAGGGCGCAGACACCCCGTGATAATGCGGCATGTCTCATTAAGAGCCACATTCACTGTTTTAGTATGGTGAGATGTGTTCCACACTGGGCATGCGTACTCAGCAGCAGAGTAGCACAGCGCAAGGGCAGATGTCTTCAGTGTATCTGGTTGTGATCCCCAGGTTGTGCCAGTCAGGATACAGGATACCATGGCATGCAGGGACCTTCCCAAGACACCCTTCCACAACAACAAGTACTGTATATCTCAGTTCCTCCTGACACAATCAACTTAGGCTTCTTCTACACTGCTCTATATCCCAGGATCTGATCTCAGACTATCTGCTTATCCCAGATTATATGGCAGTGGGGACTCGTATAATCCAGTTCAAATCAGATAATTCTGGGATTTAGAGCAGTGTAGATCCAGCCTCAATCTGCATCTTCTGTAGAATCTCGTGATGGAGACTTTTTGTGCTGTGGAAAAGCTCAAACAGGCAGTAAAAAGATTCAAATTAATCCTCTATATTTATCTGACATGTCTGCAGCCTGTATGGCATTTCATTAGAGAACAGTAAATTTATTTAAAGAATGACATTTAAAAACCCATTACAACTAATTGTAAAAAATCATGCGCCATTAAACTTGGTTACCCTGTATCCAGTCTATCTATATTACAGATCACTATTACCGTTTAAATCAATATACTTCTGTCATTTGATAATGAATATGGTTTCATTTAAACCATACCTAGAAACCACGATTTTATCTTCGAAAACACAATTATAAAGTCAAGCAAAGTAAACAATGATATCTCATTCTTGCTGCAATATCCCTCTAGGAGCGAAAACAACACATGCGTGCCATTAAAAAAGAAATCACGGAAAGGAGCATCAAACGGCAGCACATCTTGACCCGAGATCATTAATGAATTCTTTTATTTGAAACTGACTCACTAAAAGGAAGAAGTTGCTGACATTAGCTTTGTAGACTAAGCCTACTACATCTCAAGAGCATATGGTACGAACCGCTTTCTCGCCTCAAAGATGCTACAAGGTCCCCTTTGCTTCCTGATCCAAGATAACATGACTATGTTGTTGAATTCATTGTCAAATAGACAGTATTTCTGATTTATACATGGCTGATCACCAGTGGATATAGATCGAACTGCAAAGACTCTGGCACAAGCTAGTCAAGGTGGTCCCAGTGATGATCGGCACACTGGGTGCAGTGCCTCAAGACCTTGGCCTGCACTTAAACACAATCGCCATTGACAAGATTACCATCTGCCAGCTGCAGAAGGCCACCTTACTGGGATTGTAATAAGAAATTCTATGTGAAAATTTGATAAATGTGAATTTAAAATGATGTGTGGGAATGAATGGAAGAATGGAAGATTGTATGAATGGAGCTAATAATTTTGGAAACACCAGTATAATATTAAGGCCTGCAACGACTAACTACCTGCTTGCTGGACTTGCTAATGAGAAACCCTGATAAGAACTGAGACAGTGATAAAGGAAATGTTTGCAATCTTCCTTATGTTAAGAAGGAAGTCAACATAAGATCAACACCAATCAAGAGATCAACAACTGGCCAGGAAACTGAGAAGGAGCCAGGATGGAAGATGTCTATCATTAATTTACAACTTTGGGACAACATCAGCAGAATTTTCCTATAAAAGACTCAGGCTAATAATGCTCAAATCGTGGCAGACCGAGGAGTCTGATCCACCCGCCATGCTCTGCTCCATGGGAAGGAGAGAGGTGGTGTATTTGGAAAGTGTCAGATATGCTCTGGGAAAGCATGATTCTGGACACTTTGGGGCTTCTTTCTCAAGGGAAGAGGAAGAAGTGCGCTTTTGGAGTCTTGGATTTTGTGCAGGGAATCAGGTTCTGCTGTATGGAAAACAGAGATCTGGTCCTTGGCATTGTTAGTAGGGAAAGAAGTTTTGGTATTTCAGCGTTTTGAAGTTATGGCGTTATGGAAGTTTTGGAACTATGCGTTGGCAGGCTGCAGGAGAGCAGGGTCTGGCCTTACAGGTGCTTCTCCAAGGAGGGAGAAAAGGATATGGTAATATTTTGGATGCATGTGGATGACTGCGTGTACATGTGTGTGAATGCTGAGTGAAAATGCAACCCCCCTATGTTTGTTTGTTAACCAGTGTAATTGTAAGTCCAATGTAGTTGCATAGAATCTGTATGTTTGTATGTCCAATGTCATTTTTTTGTCTAAATGTTTTCTGTAATCTGATATACCTTCTCACACTGGAAATTGAAATAAAAAGAACCTATGCTTTAAAATCATTGAAAAGTCATTCATAACAGGATCTGCACACATTATTCACCGATACATCACACAGTCCTAGAGACTTGGGAAATGTCCGACGTGTGATCCAATATAACAGCTGGCAGAGTGATCTTGTCTGCTGTGGACTCATCTTGTTGTGTTTCAAATAATAATTTATTTATCGTATCAGAAGCAAATATCCTTTGAGCAGTAGCTGGCTACTTAGAGTGCCTCTCATGTGGCTGTAAGGAGCTCCTCCATGGTGCATGTGGCAGGGCTCAGGTTGAATTGCAGCAGGTGGTCAGTGTTTTGCTCTTCTCCACACTCACATGTCGTGGATTCCACTTTGTGGCCCCATTTCTTAAGGTTGGCTCTGCATCTCATGGTGCCAGAGCGCAGTCTGTTCAGCGCCTTCCAAGTCGCCCAGTCTTCTGTGTGCCCAGGGGGAGTCTCTCATTTGGTATCAGCCATTGATTGAGGTTCTGGGTTTGAGCCTGCCACTTTTGGACTCTTGCTTGCTGAGGTGTTCCTGCAAGTGTCTCTGTAGATCTTAGAAAACTATTTCTTGATTTAAGGCATTGGTGTGCTGGCTGATATCTAAACAGGGGGTGGGCTGGAGATGTCACTGCCTTGGTCCTTTCATTATTGGCTGCTACTTCCTGGCAGATGTCAGGTGGTGCAATACAAGCTAAACAGTACAATTTCCCCAGTGGTGTAGGGCATAGACACCCTGTGATAATGTGGCATGTCTCATTAAGAACCACATCCACTATTTTAGCGTGGTGAGATATATTCTACACTGGGCTGCATACTCAGCAGCAGAGTAGCAAAGCTCAAGGGCAGATGTCTTCACTGTGTCTGGTTGTGATCCCCAGGTTGTGCCAGTCAGCTTTTGTATGATATTCTTTCTAGCGCCCACTTTTTGCTTGATATTCAGGCAGTACTTCTTGTAGGTCAGAGCACGGTCCAGAGTGACTCCCAGGTATTTGTGTGTGCTGYGATGCTCCAATGGGATTCCTTCCCAGGTCATYCTCRKAGCTCGARATGCTTGTCTGTTCTTAAGGTGAAAAGCACATGTCTATTTATTTATATTCTGCTCTWTCTCCCCAAGGGAATTCAGGGCAGATTACRGRACACATATAYAWGAMAMACTATTATACAAT